ATTTTAAATAATTATTTTATTTTACTTTATTTATTATTTATTTATCTTAATTTGACCAGAGAGAAACAGTGAGAGTGAGAGTGAGAGTGAGAGAGAAATAGAAAGAAAGCAAGCCACCAGGTCCAGAATGCGAACCGTAGTTGGCAATGTGGGAATCCAGCATCCTTAACAACCACACCACCTACTGGCTCCTTAAATTTATTTTTAGAATTTGCTAAAGGGCACATGTGCTTGCTGAAGAGAGCGAGACAAAGAGAGGGAAAGTGAGAAAGCATATCCCCAAGGGGTATGTCACACCCCAACCCCTTCTCCTCATTCTTTTTTTGGGTTTTGGACATGCATGTACACATGCCTGGCTCTTAAGCTGCCAAGTCCAGGACCCGAACTGCCCAGTTGACCACGCGGGATCCAGCCGTCCCAAATGCCACACCACTGGCTTGCCCCCTAAATTTAAAATTGACAAATAATTGTATGTATACATGATGTTATAAGCATAAAATGTGGAATGATTAAATCAGGCTAATTCACATATCCAAGTTGTTTTGTTTGTTTGTTTGTTTGTTTGTTTGTTTTGCTATAGGGCGCGTGCGCTCGCCAGACAGACAGAGACAGAAAGCGAGAAATCACCCCCCCAGGGGGGATGGCCACGCTGCAATCCCTTCCCCATTCTCCTCTTGGCATCTTGGGCACACACGCACACATGCCCAGCGTGAGTTTAAGCCACCGGGTCCAGGACTCGAACCACGGTCAACTACATGGGAGTCCAGTGACGTAACCGTTACGCCAACTGTTGGCCCCGCAGATTGTAAACTTTTTAAAAGGAGGGGAAATGTAATATTTGACAGGCTACTAAGGTTCTGAACTGTAGTCGGAAGGCTCCCTACCTTGTGCTTTCTTAAACTATAGAGTTCTCACATAGTAAAATAGGCACACTGAAACACTTAAATATTTTCTTTTTAACATATGATAGAAATGGAAAATGAAAATTATCCTTGAAGGAAAAGGGGCAGATGGGAGAGTTACTAATTTGGGTATTAGCCATGCACATTTAACCTTTCTCCCATCCATATGTCTTCAGTCCCAGAATAAGTAGGTGAATAAACAGATGTTCAGGATGAGGCTAATGAGGGATGTGAGGAGAGGTTGGAGAAAGGACCACAGGGTGTCCTAGCCTCGTAGTTACAACATTCTATAATTACCTGAGCTTCCTCAGTAATTGAGATTGAGAATCCTAGAGACTGAAGTCAGCCACGTGAAAGCACAGACTGAGATTATTAATGTGTCAAATGACCAACAGGCTTTCACTTCAGGTCAGGTTAAGACAGTTCATTAAGAGTGCTTAAACTCTGTGGAATGGGCTTCTGCTTTTTCTGCCATCTTGCCAGAATAAGCGCCAGTCGAAACAGATGTCACTGACAGCGGAACTGACTGCATGACCCTAGTCATTGTCAGAGGGTTCAGCCACATTTTGAATAATTAGCATCTGCAGAGAAAAGCATGGTAGAAGGGCCACACAGACTCCTTGATTCTTTCAGTTCATTTGTGCCTGCCGCCACCCCCCAGCAGAGCAGAGTCCTTGTGGTCTCACCTGCTAATCTATTTTTCCCCTGCTGTGCTTGTCACTCGGAGGGCAGGCCCTGAGACTTGAGACTCTGCTTAGCACACAGTGATGCCCAACACATCCTGCTGACTCACAAGGTGCTGTTCTTTGCTCTCGGTCTGAACACTGAAGGGCTCGCCATTCACAGTGACTGTGAGGAGGAAGCACCGCCCACACCCGGGCGTGTTTCACTGCTGCACCTTCTGTTCCAGTGGAGGCCAGAAAACTGCGCGCTGTGCCTGTGGAGGCACCATGCCAGGTGAGGAGGGTGGTCTTTACCCTCTGGGCTGTGCCAGGCGTGGGAAGCAAGTGACGGCCCCTCCATTACCACCCGCCACTAGGTTTGGGATATTGGGACTTAGGCTTTGTTTCTGGAAGCACAGTGTATAAACAGAGAGAGCATTATTCTTCCAAAGATTCACTTAAACCTTCTTTGTTCCTGAATTGAAATGACAAACTTAGAAGTTCTGAGTTCTTTTCATTTTGATAGACTTCACCTTCCTGTGAGTCTTATGCTTCTCTGTGGGATTCTCAGTTTCAGTTTGTACCCTTTCTGGGAACGTGAGCAGTGTGAAAAAGGAAGACCTACATTATTTCTCTTAAAACCTTAAAAACATTCTAAATGAGGCAGGGATCTGGGAGTGGTCAATTAAACCAACTAAGCCAGGTTTGGCTCTTTTAGTGGAAGGAAGCAGGGTCAACTGCTAGAGATCAACTTATTTTTAAATGATTCTGTCATGTCCTTACTCTAAAAATGAGCCGTAAAATAGGCTTTTGCATGTTTTCACATGAACACACTTAAGAATATAACTTTTTTATTTCTACCAATTAAAAAATTTTACCCTTCCTTTTTAGCCATTCATTTTACAGTAAAAACTCGAACCAGTTCGTCTTACAAAGTCCAAACTAGTTCATCTTCTCCAGTTAGCAAGCTTTAACATTGTTCTTAGGACTCTGGCTAACATTAGTTGATCTGCTGTGATCAGTCCTGAAAGTCCTCTGACTAAAGAGGAGTCGGTTTGTTCCTGTGAGCAGGTTTCTCTTATTTTCACCTCCATGACTCGCAGTGTTGCCAGGAGGTTTAATTTCCATGGTAACTGCTGGACTGCACTCTGATGGTTGTTTTTCCCTCTCCTCTTTGTACTGTGCAGGTGGGTACCTAGGCTGTGGCCACGGACACAAAGGCCACCCAGGCCGTCCCCACTGGTCATGCTGTGGGAAGTTTACTGAAAAGTCCGAATGCACGTGGGCAGGCGGGCAGAGTGCACCGAGGAGTCTGCTGAGGACTGTGGCACTCTGACTGTTTTGTGAGTATGTGCTAAGCCTATGAAAGCTGCAGCCAGCACAACCTCACATTATCAGAGCACTCCAGACCCTAATTAATTCTGAAGAGAATGATAGAATTAAAAACAAGTGCCTTATCTTACAGCAGAGCTTAAGTGTTTTTGTGAGTTACTGATGTATTTGCAGATAGTTGAGCACCAAACACCACTGCTACAGTGCTCTTAAAGGCAGATTGAAAGAGTTCTTCCTTCCTTCCTTCCTAGCAATAAACTCAGCATGTATTAAATATAATCGTTGAAATCTGCATTGTGCAATCCCTTAAGAAGTGGATGACTCCTTTGAGTGGTAAATTGGGTCATACAAAGGAAGTGAAGTAATTAGATGCTTACTGTCAGACACCATGGGGTACATTTCTTCCTTCAGGCTGATAGAAGTGGGCTACAATCGCCGTCAATACCAAGGTACTCCTTATATTCTCACCTCTTCTAGAAATACTCCCTTTTATAAGAGAGAGATGGAGAGGGGCTGGCCGGTGGTGTAGTGGCTACAGGTGCTGGACTCCCACATGGGCGATCACGTTTGCCCGGCGGCTTGTTTTCTCACTTACCTGGGCTCGCTCTTACACCCACACTCTCTCTCTCTCTCTCTCACACACACACTCTGTCCCTCTCTTATCAAATTAAAATAATAACGAAAAAAAGGTATAAAATCTTTAAGAAAAATCTCTTTAAAAAAAAAGGAGAAAGAGAGAAACATGAGAACCCTTACCAGGGTCTGCCTCATGCTGTGATCCTTCCCTCTAACCATCCAAGCCAGCTAGGATCACAGAGCTATGCACATATCCCCAACCGTGTGGTCTCTAGTGGCTGGGCCAATAATGTTCTTACTCTATCACAGGAGGTTCTTTCCTGTTTTACGTAGTTATGAAAGTGTTTGTGCCATTGGCACTTAGAGATCATGGGGGTAGCTTAGTTCTTTGCTTTCTGTTACCTATAACTCTCCCCGACCCTGCCCCGAACTACATAGTATTTAGACATTTCTCTTAGAGAATAAAATTTAGCCTTTCATCTGGAGCCAGTGGGTGGTGTGGTGGTCTTAAGGTGCTGGATTTTCATGTGGTTGACCGTGGTTTGAATTCCACACCTGGTGGCTGGAAACTCAGGATGGGCAGGTGCGTGTATGTGCCCAAAATCCTGAGGGGAATGGAGAGGAGACTGTGGCATGGCCATCGCCCCTTGGCGATGTCCAGTGCATGTGCCCTATAGCAAAAATCTCTTTTAAAAAAACAACTTTTCATGATAGTTAAGGCACTGGATTCCCATATGGCCAACCACGGTCTGAATTTTGGACCTGGTGGTTTGAAAATCACACTGGGTGTGTGTATGGGTGCCCAAAATCCTGAGAGGAGAATGGAGAAGGAATTGCAGCATGGCTATCCCCCCACGGATGATTTCTCATCTTCCCTCTCTCTGCCTCCCCTTGGCCAGTGTACACACCCCATAAAAAACAAACCAAAAAACCCTTTCATCCTATTCCCCCCTTTGATAGCATACTTTCTTTTCTTCTTCTTTTTCTAATCTTTTTTAAAAAAATTCCCTGTAGGATGAGTGTACTCACTGGACAGAGACAGACAGGGAAAGTGAGAAAGCACCCCCTGGGCAGATGGCCATGGTGCAGTTCCTTAGGATCTGGGGCACATACGCATGCCAGATGTGTTTTTCAAACTGCTGAGTCTGGGACTCAAACTGCATAATCAGCCCTGTGGGATCCAGCCACCTTAACTACCATGCCACTGGCCGGCCCAGGTAGCATACTATCAACAGATGTGCACATTTTGTGACCATTATAATGTAATCTTGCAGTTTCATTGGGTCAGCCTCCTCCCTCTCTATACTATTTTCACCTTCTACTCCAAAGTGTGGAAAATTACCATTTGGTCAAGGGCATACAAAAAATTTATAATGGAGAATGGTGTTAAAATAGAACCTCATACATTTAATGCAGTTCTGCTCATGCCAAGAGATCTTTTCATAGATACCATCATCCTCCCCACTTCTGTTTTTTAGAGAGCAGTCTTTGGTTTGTCTGTATATCTGGAAAGCTAACTGGAGGGAGGCTTTGACCTTCATAGCATTTTGTCTAGGCTGTTCAAGAATTCTGGGGAGAGAATATACACAAAGCTGGTGCCTCAGCCCTGCCAAGGTCTTCACTATGTATATTCTGTGTGTTCTTCTGGGATTCTTGATTACTAATATAGCAATAAACACAGCATGGATTAAATGTAATTATTGAACTCACATAATAAGATCCTCTAAGAAGTGTGTGACTCATTTAAATGGTGAATTGGGTTAGGCCAAGCAAGTGAATTAGATACTGTCAGGTCACTGTTGAATAGATTTCTTCCTTCAGGTTGACAGACGTGGGCTACAGTATACCCCAATACTAAGATATTCCCTATATTCTGACACTTTTCTGGAAACATTCCCCTCGGTCTCTTTCTTTAACCCAAATCTGATTTTCCCAGAAGATAGAGTCAGCCCTGTCACCAGCACAAATTAGTAGCTATTTGCTCTTCCCTGTCCTTTACATCACTGGAGCCCAAGGTCAGCTAGGTGCTGCTAGCACATCACTGCTACTTGAAGATCAGTGTTCTCAACCTGGAATGATTTCCCCCCCACAGGACAAGTGCAAAGTCTCAGAGACATTTTTAGTAACCTGGGTGAACACAAGTAACACCTAGTGAGTAGAGGTTGGGAGTGCAACTGAACATTTTATAATGGTCAGGACAGCTGTTCAAACAGAATTTTCCAGTCTAAAATGTCAGTAGTGCCACTGTTACGAAGTCTTATTTTTAACCATTATTCCTGCTTTTTTTTTTTCTGAAAATGGCCAGTCCTGAAGTGCTTATCTTTGAACTGTACAACTTTCTGTGCGAATTCCTCCATGGCTCAGCTCCAAGTCACTCCCCCTGCCCTTGGAGATTATAGCATCAAGCCTGCTGTTGCGCTAGTACTAGTACTTACTTATCAGTCCTGGGATAATTCAATGTAAGACTAATTTTCCCCTAAGCTGTACAACCATACCCTAGGCCTTGATTCCAGTTGTATCCTCTGCATAATCTCAATTTCAGTCACTTTACAACCATAACTTCCCATTTTTTTTTCCAGCTCACCTGCTGTAATAATCTGATTCTACTAATTCCTCTTCCTTCATGAAACTCACAGTACCATGATTCTGCCACCTTGTTGCCGTATCTCTCACTTCCCTCGTGTCTTTTCCTTCATCCTTCTCAGCTTGGACTCTACAAACCATCATTATAACCACTCTCTAGCTTATGGCCTCACTCTGTCATTCTTGCCTCCCAAACTAGATTAAAGCCTTCTCTCTCTCTTTTGACAAATTTGCCCTGTGCACTCGTGAGAGAGAGGGAATGTGAGGAAGCTCCTCTCTCCCCACGGAGAATGGTCATGCAGCTAACCTTTCTCTTCCATTTCTCCCTCCTTTCAGGATTTTGAGTGCAGATACACGCCCACTGTGTCTGGGTCTCAAACCGTGCAGTCAGCCATGTGAGATCCAGCTTACGTAACCACCAGGCCAAGACTGCTCCCATCCTACTCTTTAGACCAACTGGGTGATCTTGTAGAAAAACATAAAAGCATTGTGACTAATCTCACTTTAAATTTATGACAACTCACTTCAGTGGCTCCTAGCATTGCCCAGTAGTCTGACATTTCCCTGATCCATTTACTCTCTCACTCTCCTAGACAATTATTTCATACTTTTCCACAAACTCCAATTTATATCCCACTTCTCTTATGATCTTGCCTCCTATTTCACTGAGAAATAAAAGGATTCAGAAGAAAATTTCCCTATGCTCTGAAATCAACAGATTTACCTAGGTTCTTATCCAAATCCAACTTCTACACTGTTTACTATCAATAGATCCCATTCTGTTACTAGTAACCCAGGGCGTTGCTCCTGTAACTTCCCCCTCTACTAGATTATTTTAGAAAATAAACATGCTGTAATAGCCCCCATCTTTAAACATTTCCCTTGATTTCTAGTTTCTTAGTTTATTTCCTTTGATAATAGTTGACTAGGGCTGCCATGACAGTACCACAGACTAGGTGACTTAATGACAGAAATTAATTTTCTCACAGTTTCAGAAGTCCTAGGTCAAGATGCTGATGGGTTGGCTTCAAATGAGGCCTCTTTCTTAACTTGCACATGGTAGCCTTCTCTTTGTGTTCTCATATGGCCTTTCCCCTGTGTGAATGAACTCCTTTTAGCTCTTCTTCTACATATAAGGACATGACCCTTATGACCCCCTTTAACTTAATTATCTCCAAATACAGTCACACTAGGGATGAGAAGTGCAACCTGTGGATTTTGGGGAATACAATTCAGTCTAAAAATGTTCCATCCCTCTTTGGCAACTTCTGCATTCCTCTGCTGCTCATTAGTCCAATGGTCAGTTCTCCATCTTTATCTTTTTTTTTTTTTTTGAGAGGTTTTTGCTACAGGGCGCATGCACTTGCCAGACAGAAACAGAGAGACAGAAAGCGAGAAATCACCCCCCAGGGGGAATGGCCACGCCACAATCCCTTCTCCTCCATTTTCCTCTTGGGATCTTGGGCATGCATGCATGCACACGCGCCCAGCATGAGTTTTAAGCCACCGGGTCCAGGATTTGAACCGCGGTCAACTACATAGGCATCCAGTGACATAGCCTTCTGCATTCCTCTGCTGCTCATTAGTCCAATGGTCAGTTCTCCATCTTTATCTTTTTTTTTTTTTTTGAGAGGTTTTTGCTACAGGGCGCATGCACTTGCCAGACAGAAACAGAGAGACAGAAAGCGAGAAATCACCCCCCAGGGGGAATGGCCACGCCACAATCCCTTCTCCTCCATTTTCCTCTTGGGATCTTGGGCATGCATGCATGCACACGCGCCCAGCATGAGTTTTAAGCCACCGGGTCCAGGATTTGAACCGCGGTCAACTACATAGGCATCCAGTGACATAGCCATTACACTAACTGCTGGTCCCCTCCATCTTTATCCTTTTTGACCTACCAGCAGCATTGAACATAGCTGATCACTTTCCCTTCCGTGACACGTTTTCTTCACTTGGTTTATGTGCTTCCACTCTTAATTCTCCCATCTGATTGGCTCTTCTTTCTCAGTCTGTGTTGCTAGTTCCTCATCTTTCTATCCTGCACACTGGAGAGTACCAAAGAGCAGTTCTTGCATTTCTGTCTTTCCCCCACATCCTACATCTCATCCTGTCATGACTTTAAAATACCTTTTAGATGCTAACCACTCCCAAATATATTTCTAGATCCAAACTCTACTAATTATGGACAATAGCTTACTTAATAACTCCCTTTGTATGTATCATAAATGTTTCAAGTTTAATATATTCAAAATACACTCCAAATTACCAGT